AGCAAACTACTTTGTTAGTTTGACCAACCCAAATATTGTTTTCAATTAATTTCGTGACCAATTTTTTATTTTTGAAATCCCAAGATATCACATGGATTTACAGCCTCATGTGCAGCGGGTAAAATATGGAAAGATATGCTCTTCCATCAAATCAATTTTGTCTGAGCTAATCTCTATGCATACCTTTGTTCCAGCTGGGAAATAGACACATTCAATAACTGGCAAGACTCCAAATAAAAACTGACATTGCATTTGGTTTTCCGAAGTCATTGCATTATATTAACTAACATCTGTTTTCCGGATTTTAGTAATAAGCATAATTTACAAATAATGACATCAGGATATCGACTTTTCACACAAGGCACTCACAATCTCACCCAACTTAGTGCTTACTGTTATAAAATCAAGTTTTGTCATCTTGACCTTCAGATGGTGAACATCATATTTTGAAATTATCCTATAAATATTTGCACCGTATTCTAAACTTTAGACATTGGTGTTCGTGAGTTAATTTTAGAAACATAGTTTTACCATGACTATCTTGTGTTTGGATTAGAAGAACCTACGATCGTAACATCCAAGCAAAAAACAAATATCCGTTGGGATTGTTCATTTTGATGGAGGGGAAACATATGATGGATTATCGCTTGATAGAATAGTTGGAAACATTTCACAGATGCTAATTCATTGACCCTGTCAGGGATATATCCCTGGATTAAACTGGGGTGTTTGCAAATACTGCTATCACCAGCCCCGTCGTTGCCATTTCGTCAAAGTGGTTTGTGTGTGTGTTGTTTGACGCCGCACTCAGCAATATTCCAGCTATATGACATCGGTCAGTAAATATCTGGAGTCTGGACCACAAAAACCACAAATCATCACGAGCCTCGATCACCGCAATTGAAATACGATGACATGCATCAAGCCTTAACCACCCGATCCCTGTAGTCGCCCCTTACGACAAGCATAGTCACCTCTTCTGACAAGTATATATATGAGCTGCCGAAGAACTCATTTTCTCAAAGCTTGACCGTCTTAATGTCTTACAATATTACTTCAAGACCTCAACCCAAATAAAGAATATTTATCTATGACTAAACACTTCCCTCGGTCTCAGAATTTCTTTTTTTACAGATTTGATTTAAAACGCATCTCCATCAAAACGCATGGTTATTCTTATATCGGCATATCAGAAACGAATCATAGCTTTCTCTACCTCAATGTATGATTGCTGGTCAAAAGGTTCTAAGCCTAAGTAAACACGTCAATGTAGTACAGTGATTGAGTAGTTCATTGCACGTATATTTGGTCTGGTGTGGCCGTTTGTATATTAGTGATAGCCAGTTGAACGTGATACGGGTCCAAATGGACAGAGAAACGGAAAAGAACGAGTACCGGGCAGTCATCAAGTTTCTGACTAGTGAAAAGTTCTCTCCAAGATATTCATGAGAGCATGTCACAAATGTATGTGGATAAGTGCCCTAGCTATTCCACTGTTTAACGTTGGACAGCTGTATTAAAGGATGGGAGAACAAGTCTTGACAATGACCCGAGGTCTGGACATCCTTCAACTTCCATCAATGAAGATTCAATCAAAGAGAAAGACTTTTTACCATTGCCGAACTTATAATGTCAAATACCTAGGTCACGTGATCTCTGGAGAGCGTATCAAAACAGAACCTGATTACGATGATGTCCATCGATTTCGTGGATTCTCTTGATACTTAAGACGTTTTGTATGTCAGCAATATGTTTCATGACTACTTGTAAGGCAACTCATTCGCTGAAAAGACTGGCAACACTACCCTCACTTATGCCCTCAAGTCCACTAAGTTTGATGCAAACGGGCATCACTGCCACGCATAACTTGCCACCTACGACTTTTTGCTTGAGTATGTAGGAATGACGATGGAGAATGTAATGTAATTTACTAATCTTATCAAGTGCTGTGGAGACACTTGCCCTAACTAGACCACCTCCGTGGTATAATGATAGAGCGTCCGCCCAGAGAGCGGAAGGCCAGGGGTCATGCCAAAAGACGTCAAAGGATGGTTCTTGTCCGGCGCTCAGCATAAAGGGGCTAAAAACAAGGACTGGTCGGCTCGGAGCCAGTATAGTGTGTCTGAGTGGGGTATTCATGTAAAACTGCGGCATGGTATCTCAGTGGGCTAGAACTATTAATCTGCATCAGTCCAGACTTGTACAAGCAGCCCCCCACCCCACCCCTGGATCCGCATCTATTCTCCGCCAGCAGGACTCGCTCACTGTCAAAGATGACCGTCTTCCAAGGCAAAAATTTACATATGTTGAAGCACCCTACTATCAACCGAGCCTGGAAGATATGATAAATCTATATGTGACAGCATATTAGTGGACATATATGTAGCATATGTTGGACATCTTATTAGTGACAGGACCATGGCTTTATTTAAGACATGGTTTTACTGGAGGGGAATGATAACAGGTGTGGAAAAAAAATATCAGCAGCTGCCAGAGGTATTGTATATTCTTCGGAAAGCTCCAAACTCAACTGAGCATGCATCTTTAGTTAGCATCGAAACCACTCAACCTATGGAGATGGTGACTCAGCTTTTCGAAAAGGATACACCACCACTGACAATGCTTTTATCCTATATTCTATAATTCAGAGATATCTATCAGTGAAACGAGGGAAGCTATATGCTGTATTCGTAGATTTTGCAAAAGCTTTTGACTCTGTGAAAAGGGATAACTTGTGGTCACTCTTTCAAAGACATGGGCTAAGTAGCAAAATTGGAAAGTTATTATGCTCTCTATATAAAAATGTGAAGGTGTGTGTCCGGAACAATGGCGCTATATCGGATACTTTTGTAAGTAGCAGGGGTGTCCGACAAGGGTGTGTATTAAGTCCCTTCTTATTTTCCTTTTTCATAAATGATTTGGCATATCAAATCCAAAATACCTGGCCTGCAAAAGCAAATTCATGTATTAGAGAGTTATTGTGACGAGTCAAAACTTACTGTAAATATGGATAAAACCAAAGTTGTAGTTTTTTAAAAATGGTGGTAACATATCCAGAAAAAAAAATGGTTTTACAGAGGGAAGCCTGTAGAATTTGTTCCATTTTATAAATACTTAGGCTTGTGATTTACAAGTAGATTAACTTGGTCAAGGAATGCACATAACATTTAATTGCAAGCCAAGACAATTTGTGTAGGCATATTAAAAAGTCTTAGAGTTCTGGACAATGTTACATATGATGTTTATTTGAAAATATTTGATACAAAAATAAGCCCGATGCTATTGTATGGATCAGAAATTTGGGGTCTAGCTCTATAGAACATTTGGATGTTATTGAGAAAACACATTTATATGCATGTAAACGGTTCTTGGGGGTAAAATCTAGCACAGAAAACGCAAGGGTATATGGTAAATGCGGACGGTTTCCCATGTATATCAATAGCTATTTAAAGGTTATTAAATACTGGGTCAAGCTATTAAATATGCCATCTTCAAGATACCTGAAACAATGCTATAATATGATGCTTCTATACGACAGCCATGGGAAACAAAATTGGGCATCAAAAGTTAAAAACATGTTATACGAATGTGGATATGGTTATATTTGGTTACAGCAATATGTAGATATGCCACAACATTTCTTCTCCCGTTTGACACAGACTTTAAAAGATATTTACATTCCAAAATGGCATGGTTCTTTGTCCAGTTCTAGAAAAGCAAACTATTACACTACATTTAAGACTACTATTATACTAGAACCTTATCTATTAAGTTTACATTTACATAAGTTTAGAACAGCTCTTTCCCGATTCCGTTGTGGCTCACATGATCTATTTATTGAAACAGGCAGATATGAAGGTATTGTAAGAGAACACAGACTTTGTAGGATTTGTAAAACTGATTGTACTGAAGATGAATATCACTTTTCATGTGTATGTGCAGTGTATGAAGATTTAAGAGCAAAATATCTAAATAACTAATTCTACCTCAACCCAAACGGGAACAAATTTTGGAAATGAATGACTTGTGATTGTACAGCAACTATTAGAAATCTATCAATGTTCATTTATCACATCATTGTTCACTGCAGCATTCCAGAAAATTCACACTCTGATCAAGGCTGGAACCGGAAGGTGATATCCCCAAACAGTTGTGCAGCATATTGGGCATACTGGGACTACTATATAACATGATGGGTAATGGACAATGCAAGCGGTTTACGGACTCAGATGCTCAGTACTCGGGAGAAGCAGCAAAAGGCAAAGACGAAAGATCATCTTTCTCACTTATTGTATGCCTATAATTGTTCACTCCCAACTTACTCGTGTTTGGCAGACATCATAGGCTGTCTGTTGACGCTGCATTTGGTACAACACTGGCCAATATTTCATCACCAGCTAATAAACACTTTTTGCGGCTCTAGTGAGGAAATTGCATACTGCATAATCGGTGGAAAGAGGCGTATTACATGATAGATTCTGAACTTCAAAATCAGCCTCGTGTTTTGACTAGACGCCCAGTGGCTGGACATAACGTACCACGCCTGGCTACACATATATTTTAAAATAACTGAAAATGAGACCATCCATGCATAGTCAAAGAGTCCCCCATTACAGAGTCATCCCAATAACCACAGCGAAATTGTACACTTGAAACCTCTACCTAAATGAGCTTGCAGTCAATATGTATCAACAATATTGGAGGAAAAAACAAACGTAACCATTTATAGCATGGATAATTAATTATCTTGATAACAGAGGATTTGTCACTGAAATGGGAAAAGTTGTTGGTCATAATGTGACCTCATGATATCCCAATGGAATAGCCTATCACGGACCCTAATTCAATCATATGCATGATACGAATAGTCTCACATGGATTTCTCAGCGTGAATGAAGTACCATTCACTCACGTGTGCAGTTCAACATATTTCTCAGAAAAGAGCAAGAACACGGATAAACAGTGCACAGAATGTGACATTTATGAATTAAAAGCAAAGATGAAAGGAATGCCAAACTTTATTCAAAGCTGATTACATATCATTCTTTTCGTGTACATGTTTAAAATGTCTTCCTTCAGGCCACGTAGGAAACTACATCTTTTCACTGACACCCTCCCACGTACGAATCAAGGTTCTGGATTCGAGTGATTTCGAGGTCAAAGGTTTCAGGTCCACGCAAGATACTTACTCCCGCCTCCATTTTCTGAGGGCCAAGTGGCGCGAAGTGCATCAACTGAAATGTGACCAAGAAATGAGTCATTGCAAACATATCCTGAAGGATGATAACCATCACAATTGCTACAACAAATTATCGTGGGTGAGATACTTCGGTGTAACACACCATTTAACATTATTTAGTTATAAGAATGGTGTGTCAGCCTGATGCGGGGGAAAAGTCAGAAGTGATACATGAAAAGACATTTACCGCTTAGCACAAGGAATGATAAGACAAACCTAGAAACAAAATCAGGGGAATAATGACTTGTGCAAGAAGGTTCACCTCAACTGGAAGGCTTGCTAGAGTTCTGAAACATGCCGCCCGATGACCTGCTTTCACAATGCCCACGTCTCTCTCAAACATCTGTCTCATCTTCTCGTCAAACTCAGGTGTTGTTAAATCTGAAATGTAAGTATGAATTGGATAACATACATGAGTCTGGAATTGGAACTTTGAGATTTTATTCACAAAGCGTGCACATGGCTGTGCATTTTGATCATTTGTAGGCAGCTACCTAATTCCTAGTATATTTTCCACTTTTGACTGTTCTTTACTTCAACCCTCATCCTTGTCACAAGGAGATATTACAGCAGGTAAGTATTGGACATCCAGGAATGCTTAGATGCTTTGGAGATTCCTACCACAAAGTCAAGATTGTCAGCTTTTTTTTTATATTTTGGAGATAATCATGTAGTTATGTTTATGTACTCTGACACGAAAGGATTGTTCCAATCAAATGAATTTATGGTCATTTAAAACCTGACTGGTCAGAATAAAATCAAAAGCTTTGAAATCTCTTTGAAAAACAACACAACTGTACACCTGTTTATATTACTTCGTGTGCTGATATATCAGACAGTTCAATGTATAACTAAATGAGCTACAGTGCTACCGTGTTATTATTCCTGGACAAAGCTTATACTCGCTAGAAGAGCTGTTGTGTTTATCCCCCTTTTAAACCAACACGCACAATAGCTAGGAAAGGTATCTGCAGGTGAGTTAACCCATGGGATGCTGTATGTATAGTGACCATATACGTTTAATTATATAATAATACTTGTAACAATAAGATAATAATAACTTGTAACTATATGGTAATACTTACATGAAACGATCTATATGTAAGCGCTTAACTGCCAGACATACCTTTGACATGACATGTTTGCTTGGCAAGAAGTAAGTGCTCATCATCCTCGAGAGACATCTCATAAATGTCTCTGGATACATTGACCCCAAGTTCCCGGGCGTAGTCACTGCAGCGGTATACTGGGGTCGTCTTCACCTCATAGCCCTTTCGTGACAGAAAGGTTGTCAACTGTGGCCAGCTGCAAGCTTTCTCAAGATTAAGAACTGAAATTAACAGATATTTCTTTCCTTTGTCTTGTAAACAAACATAGGAGATAAACATGTCAATTGACAATAAAAGGATAGCTGTTCTATCTATAATTTAGTTTCTGAGAAATCGTCTTACTGCATCTGTGGACGATGATTGGACAAAATCAAATGTCCTTCACGATTAATGAAGTTTGGTTCAGATTTGGCAATGCTAGCTAGTTACGTAGTATAGTCACATATAACGCTAATAGGAGATGTGCTGAGCAACAGTAGCGTAGGTCTAAAAGTAACTTTGTTATAAGGGAAACATCAGCAAATTTTATATAATCGAACTCACCAAGCAATACCTTTGGGTTCCCGATTTCCTGTAAAACAGCAATTTGAGAAAGTGAAGTGAATTAGTGAATATTTCTAAGGCAAGATAAACGGTATTCAAGAAGACTGTAAATATATATGGGCAAAGATTCAGGGACCGACAAACGGCGACAAAGATCCTGACAGTCCGATCAAAGTCTGTTGTGATTAGCAACATGGTTGTTTCTCTGAGAATAACAGAATGCTTTGTCGCAACCAAAATACAAACACGTGATGAGCAAGGATCAACGCCATCGGGGCAAGATCACTTGCAATCAGCTAAGGCACAGAGCCTGACCACCTGATCCAAAGTGAATCGTCTCTTATGACAAGCTACGTGAGGTGGTCTACCCGTTACAAAATGGCGATGCAACAATTACACTAACCTTAAATGAAAATATAACTTTGATGTCAGTTAGACCCTCCACTTTTGCCTTAATCTGCAATATGTCTGCCGTCTCGTCCCTCCCCTCCTTAGGCGGAAGGGTGATGTCAACTCTGTACAGAAGGGCGTCTCTATCATCAAAGCAGCCGCAGGGAACCGACCGGGGGAGACACGACAGGGTGAGGAGACCAATGAGGAGCATGAACATTGTTGTAAAATTGTAATTGATCCGCACAAACCGAAAGTCCAGGTTTATTTGAGTTCCGCCTTTGATTTCTGGCTATGAACAACAATATAATTGCCATATCATTGTACACATTTATAAGTAGATTGTGAAAAGTATCAAAACATTACTTTTCTGCCAATTAGAATTTTTTGATTATACCAGATATTTTGCGAAGATATATAACTATTTTAACTTTTGCCATTCTCTAATCTAGATGTAAAGTCCCAACAGGCTGAAAGAAGGTCACATTATAGAACATATTGCGAACAAGCCAGATGACAACATCTTTCAGTTTTCACAGTTATATTCGAATAATTTTTAAGATCACAGCTTTTGTAGATGTTGGAGAGTAATTTATGTCTTTTCGATGTCTTTGCATCGAATCCTCTCATCATTGAAACTTTTTGTGCTTATATTATTTCCTTTATTTTGTGTGTGTACATTTAATTGTCCATTATTGATAATTTTATCTTTGATGATGCCTCAGGCCCGGGTGTCTGCCATGTATTAGATAAAATCTCCAATAAATATGCAGCTGGTAGTCAACACGCATATACATGTAAATTTGTCATTAATAATGCGTATTCCTTTCATAAATAGACCATGATCGGTTGACGTATTCACATCATTACATCATCAGTTCTGTTAATTTTGTGCTATAACATATAGACATGGCGAGATTATTGGTGACACTTAAAACGTCTTCTGCGCTCTTTATGCTATCGCACATTTGCTCTCATCCTCGCTCCTCCTATTTCTTTTGCAATTCAATAAATGAATTGAAACACCAATGGTTATTTATGACGACTGGACTCAATGTAGCTCTCTGTATATATCTAGTTTATAATTAAAGTAACGCTGTCTGTAATGCTCTTGATCACATCAACACACATATAATCAAAAATAAGATGTTTTGAGACTTTACCTTACTGACTGAGACGACGTTGAATACTGGCTAGTGACTGCTGCCGAAGGTAACTGCAGCGATATATATACGTGGGTTTGCAACTCACTGCGCATGTCAGCATAAAGCAGCACAGGTATTCAACTATTCTCTCTGCATCTTTTGGAGATGAACGTGCTGTGTTGGCAATGCAGATCCTTTCTTTCTTTTTTTAAACATTCTTTTTTCATTTGTGGCATTTCATATCGTTTTGACAAAACCGAAAAAAAAGTAATTTATGTTACAAAAAGTGTATGGCATGATGACCAATATTTAAAGAATCTGTCTAAATTCCCATTGTACATTTGGAGATGAAGAAATACTGCTTCAGTACATTCTGGAAGATCTGGAACAATGGAATGTGCTTTGTGTCTTTACATGAGAACATGTGTTTTTCGCAAAGAATAATTATAAGGTTTAATGAGTCATTACTTCTGAATTTGTATCCAAGCAAAACATGTCTTTTGGGGATATTTCCTTTGATTAGAGCGTTGGTATTTAGCCAAAGTTCCAGTGCTGTCCAGATCGTTTTTACTCAGCTGCAATCCCAAAACAAATGTCCAGTCGTTTCTCTGTGTGTCTCAAAGGCTACATGTATTGATGTCTACATATCCCATTTTGGATAATATATTATTAGTAGGTAGAAAGGGGGTAGACTTTTGTATTGAAAACATTGCAGCTTAGTATCTACAGTGCACGTAAATAGTATGTAGTAAGAGTTTGTCCAGTCCTCTTAAGATATTTCAACTTTCAAAATATTGAGCGTTGATTTTTTAAACAATAATTTTTCAAACAAACGTTTGTTAAAGTAGTGTCTTTTTCCACATTTATGTAGGTGTTGCATATTAAAGGGTCACATGGGATTTCAGAGGGGTCTCAAATTCTTTCGATTGATTCTTATAGTTCTGCAGTATTGTTTTATTGTTTGTATTGTCGATTTCTGATAGTTCTGTGGAATGAATAGATGAAATGAAATTCCACCAAGAAGTCAGGAGATCCTTGTAAAAGTCGTTTCGTATCGTTGTGACAATAGTATTTCTCAGATATTGGCAGTTGTATTCAAATATGGAACCTTGTCCAATTTTCGGTAAGTTCATTTAAAAAAGAGTACCCCATTTTATTTACTTATTAAAGAATCTTCTAATAATTGATAGTTTTTGGGCCATTATTATTTCTTCTACTTTCGGAACATTAAAACCTCCGTTCTTTTTATCACAAATCACCTGAATTCTTTTTACTTTATTGGGTTTTCTGGCCCATATGAACTAGAAACATTTACTTTGAAAATCGACCACTTTCGAGTCAGGGTGGTTCGGCAGAGCTGCAAACAAATTGTCTTGAGTTAGAAGAAATAAGAGATTTTAAAATTATATTTACATTGATATAATTCAAATCAATCATTTCTTCTAACTCAAGACAATAGGATATCCCAAGTAGGCCAAAGGGACCTTGAGTCCAGTTTAGTTTTCACGAAGACATAGCTTCATTCTTGATTCTTTTTTTTTTACCCTATCCAAATAAGCCTTTTCAATGTCTTATCAGTGTTTACTTTTAGCCCATAGAAACGTGGGAAAAAATCAAAGTACTCGCAGTACATCATGTAGACAGCGTTCATTTCCATCTAATATGCAAGTTGAATCGTCTGCAAACTGTTGTGTGAGGAATTCAACACTACCCAAATGTATGCCTTTTATATCGGCATTATTTCTGATAATTATTCAGGGGGCACGGGTGGCCCAGTCGTCTAGGGCGCCGCGATTCGCTGTGCTCCATCAAGTCATAAATTTGTCTCATGATCTCACCAATATATCTTGCGGACTTAAAACTTTTTTCGTCTTCTTCTATCAATAAATCAAGAACTGGTTTGATTCTTCGAGATATTGTAAGTGATATAAGAACACCGATAAAAAAGCGAAATATGTCGCCAATTCACCAAATATTCTTTTTGTTTGCCCCCTTTAGGAAAGCAGGTAATGAGACCTCGTTTCATTGACATTGATAATTCACCTTTGTTATATGTCATTTGAAGTGATTTGATTCAATTTTTTCATACCATATTTCCAATCAAACTTTGTTTATAAGAATGTTTTACATTAAGGGGCGATACGTACGATATTAACCTCTTATGTAAAAAATATAATTTTTACATTAAAGGTTGCTGGTTGTTACTCTTAATGTAAAAGAAATTGCATTAAGAGTTAACACGTAACCCTGAATGTAAAGATTTTTACATTAAGCCCTTTGCATGGATGAAGTCGTCTGGCCTGAAAAGTGAAACAGAAAGCTTTCTGTTTAACTTACGAAACCGTCTGATTTTGCATCAAAATGTAAATATGAAATGAGCGTATGTAATGAATTTAATGAGATTGTCCAACACACTCTCAGTGGATGCCCAGCTTTGGCACAAACACAGTATCTTAAACGACATGATGGTGTAGCTCGATCATTTTATTACCGTCTTCGCCATGCATGTGGTTTTGACACAGAGGTCCATCCATGGTACGACCCGGAACATGTAGAGGGCGTCATGGAAAATGATAAATACAAAATTCTTTGGAATAGGCCCGTATACAGCCTCAGACATATCCAGGCCAACAAACCTGATCTTGTTCTTTTTTATAAATCCACTGAAATCAGTTTTATCATTAAATGTTCTGTCCCTTTTGACACTAATGTGATTGACAAGATTGAGGAAAGACATGGCAAATATGCAGACCTCGCTTTCGAAATGTCACGCTGTCCGACTCCCCATTGTTCTTGGTGCCTTAGGTTTGGTACCTCCCAATCTGTTGACTGACGGGTTTGCTACCAGGAATACAGCATTTCTGACAATCTGCAGATGGCTGCAGTGTAGGGGAGTCTTCACATTCTCCGAAAAGTTGTGGGTGGGTTTGTCTAGGCACTACAATAATGTATTTATTTTTTGCAATCAGTAATTGGATTATTTTAATCGTTAACAAGACTTTTCAGTTAACTCCCCTGCTTTAGGGAAGATGCGCTCTCAGTGAGCATTATAATAGTAAGTATTTCTACGCACTGTCGCAGATAACTGAAGATGACGTCATCTACTGTTTGTTACGTAACTGTCGGTATAATGTGACGTCATTGAGCTCATGTCTCCACCGGTTACCTCAAACCGTCTTTTTTTCTAGTTTCCAATTTTTTTTGTTTTTCTGTTTATTCTCAGAGAAAAGTATAAAATAAATGCATATATAATAATGAAATCAAGATGACAGGGGTGTTATGCAAATACATATAGATATTGAAAGTTTCAATGAACATATTACAAAAATAAAGTGACAGGAATCTCATACACGTTTATAACAGCTTCAACATTTCTAAAGTTTCAGAGAAGAACATGGAGAAAAAACCGTATGAAATGTTAACCCCACAGAGCGACTTCACTGAAGGTAGCCTATTGTTCAGATGACATCATGTAATCGAGTTGCGACGTAATGAACAAAGGATGTCGTCATATCACTGTGACTGTGGCTTCAAATGACCAAACCGCATAGATAATGTCTAAACTGCACACGTGCAAATATGGGAAAGTTATAACACACAATTATTCTACCTCGTTGTGTAATATTTCCAAATATTACAGATGCATAAACATGTGTAGCTTATGCACCAACCATGAGTCACGCAGCCACAGCTGTTCCAGTGATTATTGTTTTTATCATAAACACGATTGCATATTATATTTAACGTACATATTATATTGTGTAACGTGGCAATGTATTGGATTTGTATCGTAGCTAATAAAACCTGACATATCATATCTAAATGTATGTTAATGCTTTTATTTGATGTGTGGAATATAGACTTTTAATCATTTTCTTCGCATCTAATGAAAGGCTTGGGTAAATTAAATGCAGACACTCCGCAGTGATGTTGCATGATTGCAGGCTATGTCGTTCAGTTTCATGTATATGAAGAGGCAGTGCGGTAGCCTTGTGGTTAAAGCGTCCACTCGTCACACTGAAGACCCTAGATCGATTTTCGCATAGGCACAAAGTGTGAGGCCCATTTCTAGTGACCCCGCCACGATTGCTGGTATATTTCTAAAAGCGGGTCTAGGGTTATAGTCGCATCTCTGTCAAAATGAAAATAATTTTATCCCAGTTGAAAGCACCAAATTTCATGAATGTACATTAACGAATCATTGCAAAGTTCACGAATCATTTCAGTGTTGATGAAAACAGTGAGTGACTACATGCCTTCCAACGGTAGCGAGATCACAATCCAGATTACATTTAATATCACTAACAGTATCAGAGATACACATATACATATTTTAATCGGCTGCACACATATTAACATCCTATCATAGCTAACCGTGATCTATAGAATACATGTATTAGCATTGCTATCATGTTAAAGTAGGATATGCGCATACTAAACATTGGTTCGTTTGGTGGACAAAGTTGGTTAGTTGTGTAACGCCGCACTTAGCAATATTCCAGGTATATTGTCTGTAAATTATGGACATGATCGAATCTTGACCAGACAGCGGGGATGACATGCATCAACCTAGTCAGCGTGACCACCCAGTTTCCTTAGTCGTCTGACGCGTGAAGATCCGGGGTAGATTATGTCTTCCGCCATCCATACTTGCCGGAAAAGGTGACTATGCTTGTCGTAAGAGGCGACTGACTAACAGGATCGGGATGTCAATCACTGGATTGTCTGGTCCAGACGGGATTATTTACTACAGACCGTCGTCATATAGCTGGAATATTGCTGAGTGCAGCGTAAAACAACAAACAAACATCCTTTAGTCGTCTCTTACGACAAGCATGGGTTGCTCAAGACAAAGTGTATATATATTCCAGCACTATAACCGAATCCTTTGACATGTGTTAATAAACATAACATGACTACCAAACACAAATTCCTTCGCGAACATATCTAACATCAAACATATTGTTCGATGTATATTGTATGAATGCATCCCTCTTCAAACAGTATCAACGCTTGTATAACCGGTCTGGCAAGCATCCATTTACCAGAATAGCAAGAGCTGGTATTGGATTTAATATTAGACAC